ATGGTGGCTCACAAACATCCGTTATGAGATCTGGTGCCCTCTTCTGGTGTGCAGATATACATGGAAGCAGAATGTTGTATACATAATAAATAAATAAAATCTTTAAAAAGAAAAAAAGAAAGAAAGGCAAAAAGCCCAGAGGAAAATGTAGTTAAAGAGAAATAGGATAATTCAAGTTAGAAAAGCTGGCTATAAGAAAGCCAAACTAAGGCTGGGCATTCATAAATAAGAAAAACTCTCAGTGCATTTATTTGGGAGCTGGGTGGTGGGCCCCCAAAGAGTTAAAAAAAAAAATTCAGATGAAGAAATGTAAAATCCCAGGAAGACTCCAAAGAAATCTCAAGAGAGATTTTAAGTCTCAATGCCAATTTTAATTTTAAGGTGAAACTTTTAGAGATGCTAATTAAGTTCTAAGCAATGCCAGGGTTCTGCAGCTGTAGAAACGCTGCAAACCTGAGGCCTCAGAAACCACTCTCACAGCTTGGAGTTCTAAAAGGAAGAAAACTTGAAAGCACAGTTAAAAGAGCAAGTGCTTTCCTGGCACTGTTCTGGGAAACAAGGAAGCCCATCTAGAATCCCCGTGAAGCCCCCACTCCCACACTCCCAGCAGCCAACAGAAAGGTGCCACTGCCTGTTCTTCCCTGGGGTGACCCCATTCTCCACTGCAACCTCCCCAGTTCTCCCAAGACTATACTGCTCCTTTCTAGATATACACCAGACACAGGAAGGAACTGAACCAAGGGATGACATTCTGATTTTTCTACCTCCCAATTACACAGGAGCCCTAGCAGACCTATGCTCTGGGCAGGAGAAGTGAACTGTGGGCATTGGGATCTAGAAAACACCAAATCTGCCATACAGTAAATCCAAAAATCAAGGCTTCTTACTTAGGTGCACACACTGCTTTTTTCTCTCTACTAGTAGACTACAGCACTAAGACAACACATTCACAGGTAAGCTACTTGAAAATCTCAGAAACACAGATGAACAAACAACTAATATGCCCTCAAACCCAGAAAAATGAGTGTAAGAAGAATCAAGGTCACAAAGCAAAAGAATAAACACCCAGATAAACCCACTTAATGGAGTGCTTACAGACAAGTGGAAACGCAGCACAACCAGGTAACACAGAACCAGTGACAAGAAACAAAACCAGTTGCACACCAGACACCCAGCTGACCACATTAAGTAGCAGCAAAAGGATGGGAGAAAACATCTAAAAGGAGGAAAATTAATGAGAATGTGTTTCTATATCCAGCAAGGGTATCACTGTGAATACAATTTAGACAAAGACATGGAGAACCATTCACAATCCCCCATGGAAGGATCATGAAGAGAAAAGAAACAGAAAAACAACTTTCCAAGTGAAGGACAGGGAAGCCAAGACATTTGTAAAAACAAGTAAAAGTAACATTAAACCAACAGAAGCAACTCAAAATTCCACTACTAAAGTTTCTTAACTGCAGTGGAGGAGAAATAACATACACAATGAATAGTAACTCTGGGCACTGAGAGTAAAAGCCAGTGAAAAGGAAACAAACTGTACATATTGCAAACAACTGGGAAAAGAAACCTGGGTAACCTAAGCAGGGCTGTGGCGGTGCACACACTTAGTCCCAGCACTTGGGAGGCAGGGGCAGATGGATGATCTCTGTGAGTGTGAGGCCAGCCTGGTCTACAAAGCTGCTCAGAGAAACCCTGACTCAAAATAAAACAAAACAAAAAAACCATAAAACAACCTAGGTAATCTAACAAAATGAGGAAAAATGATATATAAGAGAACAAATTTTAAAAAAGTAAATTCAAATATTCCAGCAATAATACAGACTAAATTCACCTCCTTAAAACAGACTCGAAGATTATATGCAAGAATAAAAGCTATATATTACTAAACAGCAATAACTAAAGTGCAGATAACAGAACTGAGGTATAGCTGAATATATACACAAATAAGTTGTTTTTATATTACAAAGGTGTAGCTCATCATGGGAAATAAAGTTACAACCCAAACTTCGCACAGCTTAAAAACAACATGCACAAAGCAAAGCTGGTCATAATAGAACTCACAGATCAGAGTGGGAAACAGCACCATTCCTTTGGGAGAGAGAGAGACTACAAAGGAACAGATCACACCTTATATATAAAACTCTTCATGCACCCAAAACACAAACACCTTCATCACACAGGGAACACTCAGGTCACCATTGTAAACATTACTATGACCAAGTCAATGAGGAAAAAATCCAAAAGTATTCCCCAAAGCAAAACCCAATTGGATATATTCATTAACTTCAATGAACTAAAATTAGATATTAAAGCCGGGCATTGGTGGCACACTCCTTTAATCCCAGCACTGGGGAGGCAGAGGCAGGTGGATCTCTGTGACTTCTGGTCTACAAGAGCTACTTCCAGGACAGGCTCCAAAGCCACAGAGAAACCCTGTCTCGAAAAAAACAAAAAAACAAAATTAAAAACCAATAAGCTAAAAGGCAAAATTTATGCCTTTTGAAATAAAAAAATGATTAACTCACTCTAAATGGCTTTAAAGCACACCAGGAATCAAACAGTGAAGGTGAACACTAGCTCCACAGTGGGATGGTTGGGAGACGCAGAGCTTGCAGCAGCGGGAAGTGCCACTTTCTTCAGTGCATATCAGACACCACAGAAGAGGGGAACTCAAGCTCAGAACAAAGGTGTAGTTAATAACTAAAACCAAAATCTGATTCCCTGAAGAATAAAAGGACAGCAGAGCTAACCCTTAAGGCAAAGAAGCCATGAGCCGTAAAGAACTGCATGGAGGAGCCCATGTCTTCACCAGACAACACTGCCAATTTCACAGTGACAGGGTTTGCCTATGTTCACTTTGCCAAAACATCACTAATTTTGGCAGATATCGTGTTAACAGAAAGAAAACTGTTGGTTCATTTATGAGAGTAATTTTTGTTTATCCCTATCACAATGTACAGGGTCAGTGAAAACCAACACAAATCACAAAGATAAACAAGTAAACAATGAACCCAAGCAGTGCACACTTAACCAACACAAAGTAACCACCGGCTAGCTTGGTCAACACTCTCCCAAACATTTTCTTTCCTTTTAACTTTTCTTAAGTTTCATTATGCAATACTAGGATAGAAGAAGGAGGAAGAGGAGGTGGGGGAGAAGAGAAGACACAATGAAAATACCAGAGCATCAGTGTAGAAATGCCAAATACCAAATAGAACACAAACACAAACGTTCCTGTAAATAATCTCCACATGCCACCACACTGTGCTTCAGACACATCAGAGTTTGTGCTGTATGTGCTCCTTACCAGCTTACTTTCTGCCCTTACATACACTTAAGGAAATCCATCACTAGGGCATACGTGCTGCATTTTCATCAACCTGCAAAAGTCAATAGGAATACTGCACAATTTATTCATCAGTGATGTATTCACGTTCCTTGAGTGGGGTGTGATGTGCTTGGGCCACGCATGCACAAGGCTATGTTCAAAAGCCTCCCCCCCAGCCCACCCGAGACAGAGTTTCTCTGTGTAGACCAGGATGGCCTCAAACTCAGAGATCTGCCTGCCTCTGCCTCCCAAGTACGGGAATAAAGGTGTGCACCACGCCACTACCAGTATTCGATACCCCTGTGTGAGTGTGTATCTCTCTCTCTCTCTCTCTCTCTCTCTCTCTCTCTCTCTCTCTCTCTCTCTCTCTCTCTCACACACACACACACACACACACACACACACACACACACACGTTGGTCATATGATGTGCACATCTTTCTCTACCAGGGTATTGCCAAACTGTCTTCTAAATTATGTAACAGTTCCCGATTTTCACGACACTTGACTTGGTCTTACTTTAGGTGTGGAAAGCAGGAAGGTGCCTTACATATTTACATCCATGCCTACTCTGCCAACCTCGCTTTATTCTGATTTAAATGGCTTCACTCACCAAAATCTTTGGCTCAAATACTATAACAAAAGGCTGCAGTGAGACCTGGTTGGCTCTGAAGGCAGAGGCCCACCACCGTCCCTTCTTTTCCAGAACACAACAGTCTAACAGGAAACTCGGTGTCTCGCCACAGTGTGTTTTATGATGACACCCGAAACATATCAGCATGTTGTCATCACTTACCTGCTGTGTTGTGTGCAGCTGACACTGCCACACTCTAGCCTACAAAGTCTGGTGTCATGTGCATGTGGGGTCAGAATAAACTTCTTGGAAAGAAAATAAAATTTAAAGCTGACGGCACCGTCAGTTCAACAAATCCAGAATGATTCTTGTGTGGCCTTCACAACTGGTACAGTCTACCCTGATAGACAGGAAATTCTGCACAAGTGGACACAGGATGCTGGGGAGAAGGCCAGGGCACTGGGAATGCTAAGGGCTGCTCCAACCATAACCTCATACACAGGCACGTGGCACAGCACTTTCCTGTTCTGACTTCTGTTTATGTGGCACTGGGGCAACGTTCCCATCTGAACCTTGAGAAAGCAAACTAAATGGTACAGGAAAGCTATCCATTTTACACATGGAGAAGCAAGCAGGGGAGTCAGTTACTTATTCAAGGTCACAGCCTGAATCCAATTTCTAATTCTCAATACTGTAATATTCATGTTATTACCCCAATGTGGGTGTGGCATGATTGTTAAAGGACATTTGCAGTTAAGGACAGCCAGGGCCACTGCCAGAAAACAATCTGAGAAGACAGGAAGGAAATTAATTCAGAGTTTAAGAAAAAACCTACAGTGAGTGCCCTGAGAGAGGTTCCCTTCAACAATACTCTAATTACCTGTATTTTAAAAAATACTCTTAGACACTTGCCATGTAAGTTTGAGTTTGAAATAACCAGCCTGATGGTGTAGGAACACACAGTACTCATGAAATCAAACTTACTAAGTATCAAAATTCTCTTTGGAATTATTTTCAGTTATAAACAAATGACTCAACCGACTAGCACCAGCTGGCGGAGTTCCACTGGGTAGCCGAGGGCAGGTTACCTACCTACTGCAGGGGCGTCATACTCATCGCCAAGCAGGATTTCTGGAGCAGAGTATGCAAGAGAGCCACAGCTTGTAGTGAGCTTCTTCCCTGGCTGAAATTTGTTGCTGAAGCCAAAGTCTGTCAACTTCACAAGACCTTGTTTTTCAAAAAAGACTACATTTTCTGGTTTTAAGTCTCTGTGAACCACATGGAGTTTATGGCAGTAAGATATAGCATGGACTATCTGAGCAAAATACTTCTTGGCCAAGTCTTCATTAAGACCCTCCTCATGCTTCATTATGTAATCAAACATGTCTCCTCCATCTCCAAGTTCTAGAATGAGATACAGTTTGGTCTGGGTGTCTATGACTTCATAAAGACGGACGATGTTTGGGTGCTGCACCAGCTTCATGCACCTCACCTCCTGGAAAAGATGACCAGTGGCTAGAGTGTCTAGCTTCGTCTTGTCAATGACTTTCACTGCTACCTTTTCACCTGTAAAGACATGCCTGGCGAGTTTAACTACTGCAAAGTGACCTCGACCCAAGGTTTTATCCAGATCATATAATCCAGCAATTTTTCCATCATATCCTCGCTTGAACCCTGCCATGCTGGTGCAACAAAGGGGAAAATACTTAAAGTGCTTGAAATGGGTCTTCTCATATGAGCGTCTCTGCTGAAAATAAGGCCTTCATTATCAGCATGGCAACGGATACCTGTAAAACAAGAGAGACAACACATGGATTTTCTTTCTTTCTAATTTTTATTTGTTTTATTTTGAGAGCCTTAAGTCAACTGAGACACAAACGAGTCAGGGTCATTATTAAAAACCTATTTATACACTTAGAGTTTACAATTCAAAGTAGAGGTTGAGAAGTTAATTGCCATAGTCCACAAACAAAAAGTAGCAGTTCACTGGAAGCATTTGGGGGGGGGGCATCAAAAATAAACTGACAACTTTGATAAGCTATGATTAAACAATAAATACTTTTCAAAAGTAAAATTCCATCTGTCTTTAAAAACATGGTAAAAGTTCACAAGAAAAGGGAAATGTACATTTCCTGTTGTCCAAAGACTAGAGATACTTGCAGAAGGTGCATAAAGGCCCCTTTGGCACAGCCCTCTCTGACCTTCTGTCCATGCATCTCCAAGTGACACCATGTACTCTGTGAGTATCCAAAGGTTCCTAAAGACCTTTTTCTCCATCTTCCCAAATCTAAATCAATGCTGATATCAAGAGGGCAACCAAAACTGCCTTACTACATTTGAAATGCAGTTTTTTTTCCCTAAAACGTTTACCAAGCAACTATCTGCGTCATGACTGCAGGGTTAGACAGTCCTTGGACATGGCAGCCCAGACAAATAGTTCTGACTGGAATCACTCTCTTTACTCACTACCATGAGAGTTTTCTAACTTGCACACGAAACGCCATGGCTGCTCACTTTCCCAGAGTACACAGGCATGCATGTGCTCCTTTTTTATTTTTATTTTTTTTTTGGGGGGGGGGGTTTCGAGACAGGGTTTCTCTGTGTAGCTTTGGAGACTGTCCTAGCACTCACTCTGTAGACCAGGCTGTCCTGGAACTCACAAAGATCTGCCTGCCTCTGCCTCCCAAGTGCTGGGATTAAAGGTGTGCGCCACCAACGCCCAGCCAGGCTTAAGTCTCAAAAGGTGTTTGGTTTTAGAAGTCATATTTCATATTACACTTAAAGTGTTCTTATAAAAGACCTTGACTCAGGAAAAACAAATATATAAAATTATACCAGTTAAAATATCTCACTTTAAATCCCACAAGCTTAGCAACCACTCTTAAAAACGAGTACAAGAGCCCAGTGAAGACTGTCTGACCTCCCAGACAAGCCATGGCCTATTCATGTGCAAGCACTACTTTGCTGAAGCCATTTTTCATGTTCCTAGCTGTGTGCTAGAAAAGCAGACAGACACACTATCTGTGCTATTTAATGATGGAGGTGTGTATAACCTCAAACGAAAACTTAGGCACACTAGGGCAGCAGTGCACTGAAACACTAGCATCACATTCCTTTATACTGCACTGTATTTCAAAGAGCAGAAGAAAAGCCCACACATACTGAAATCCTACCACAGAGGACATAAATTCCATTATGTCACTGGAATTTAAGGTCAGATTGTCTCATTTGAAAGCAAAGGAAATTCTACACAAAAATGACAGGTGGTATTAAAGCTAAAAGTCGGCATAACTCAGATTCCAAAGCCCATATTGCAGATCAATCCCAAATTCTAGCACTGGACACACACTCTGCCATTGAGCTATATTTTCAACCTTCAAGGCCCACTCTCGACAAATCTGACCACTGGAGTGACATCACACCTGAGACACTGAAACTGGAAGAGTTTCAATGCATCTATGAAAATGACACACAGAATCATTATCATATTAACATCCATTCCGATATTAACCAAATCACTTACTTAGGGCCACCTCAAAAATCCACACACACAATCAACTTAATAGGCCAAAAGTAACATGTTCACTATCATGTTTCATATTTTAGAAGCCACTGTGATCGCATTCAGCACTACCAATCTGAATGAGCAAGCACTGCACAGCAGTCAGATACCAAGTTTACACCATCCTTTCCCAGTTTTCACAACTCCCTGTGGACAGGGATTACTCACCCCTAGCCTAGGCTGCAGGGCTAGGATAAGGATTCAACTCCAGGGCATCAGACACCTGTCAATGCTTTAAAACAACCTGTGTGCTGTTTCTCTGTAAACTGAATTAGTCCTGTTTCTACTAAGATTTTTAATTAATAAACTAGTATAGGAGCTTGAGAAATGGCTCAGCAGTTAAGAGTGCTTATTGCTCTTGCAAAGGACCTGGGTTGGATTCCCAAAACGAGTGTTAACTCCACTTCCAGGGGATCTGACACCCTATTCTGGACTTCATGGGCATCTGTACTCAGGAGCACAGACATAGACAGACACACACGTGCGCGCGCGCGCGCTCTCGAGAAAGAGAGAACTGACCAACAGACAGACAATTACAATTACAAAATAAATAAAATACTATTTATTTATATATTCTATGTATAAGAGTGCTCTGTCTGCACATATGCCTGAACACCAGAAGGCGGCACTGGATCCCACTATAGATGGTTGTAAGCCACCCTGTGGTTACTGGGAACTGAACTCAGGATCTCTGGAAGAGCAGTCAGTGCTCTTAACTGCTGTGCCATTTCTACGGCCCATAAAATCTTTTTTTAAAAAGAAACTAGTATGTAAGAAAAATGTCAGAAAAAGGGCAATATCTTCTGTACCCTTCATTATCCTGGTTCATCTGAACTAATATTTTCAATGACTAGCATAAATACTGAAATCTAAATTGAAGTGTTTCTGCATCTGGACAGCAGGTCCCCCACAGAAACTTTAATTCTTATATATTAGGCCAGAGACTCTGTTTAACGTCAATTAACTCTGCAGGTTCAACTGTTCCCACCTAAGTGTATGCTGCAATCTTTGCAAATTCAACTTTCACCTGACTTCTTGGGCTGCCTGCCCTGTTTTGTTTTGTTTTGTTTTTCCCATCTTTATTCTTTTCCTCTATTATTTTTACTCAGATGTGTTTCTGGAAAGCAGCAAATAGATCAGACTAGATAAATGAATCTGAGGATATTTAAGGTGCTTTAACCCTGGGGCTGAGGAAATGGCTGCGTATGTAAAGTGCCTGCATGCAAGCAGAAGGCCTGAGCACCATCCCTGGCACCCACATAAGAGCTGGCCATGGTGGCTCACACCTGTAACCCAGCATGCAAAGGCTGGGGAGCGGGTAGGCAGAGCCAGTGGATCCCCGAGCTCACACTCACTGGCCAGGCAGCCTAGCCAGACCATGAGCTTCAGGTTCAGAGAGAGACTCTGTCTCAGAACATCATAAGGTGGAGAGCCAGTGTGACAGCTCAGAGGTAAAGGTCCTTGCTTGACAACCTGAGTTCTACCTTTAGAACCCAGATGATAAAAATAAAGAGCAGACTTCCAGAAATTGTCCTCTGACCTTCAGAAGAGACAGCTGTGGAATGCGTGCATGTGCACACACACACACACACACACACACACACACACACAGAGTAAATAAATAATTAAATTTAGGGGGGTCAGGTGGATAATGATCAAGGAAGATACGAATGATGACCTATAGCCTTACATACAAAGAACACGTACACATATACACACAACATATAAATTGCTTGTGACCGCTGAGAATCTCAGTGCCTCTGTCATGCCAAGCACTATGGCAGTGTTGAAAGGTAGCTGTGAGAGGTGTACTTGAGTCTGTAATGGCTCCAGGACATGCCTTTGTTAGTTGTTTCTCCTAAAGGAAAATATAGAAAACGATTTCAGTGTATTCTATTTTTCAATTTTGCTAAGAGTAAAACTATATATCCTAGGACAGGACAAACCTGGAACCAGCAAATCTGTCCTCAGTGACCCAGTCTCCTATTCTTTCTCCCCACTATTCATTGCCCCTTTCCCTGGGGGTTGAAGCTCATGCTAGGCAAGTTCCTGGTCTCCAGTCCCAGGCCTGACGCCTGACCCCTATTGTCCAGCCTCCAGTCCCAGGCCTGACGCCTGACCCCAGCCCCAGCTCTAGCTTGAATCACAGCTTTAAGGAAATAGTGGCAATGAACACCAAGTACACTAGTCATTTTCTAAAGACCTCCTGGGTAAAAGGTCCTGAATCTGCATCTGCTGAATCCTGACTATGCACTTGCAAAGCAGGCACAACAAAGCTCAACTTGTCTGAGTCATCTCTGACTAGGATCTGCTCAGCCTGCCTATAAAATCCATCCCACCTCCAGCAGCCCCTAGACAAGCTCGACAAGCTCCCACGACAGCTGAGGAGAGGAACCTGCATAAGACACTCTTCTTCTGAGCAAGGCAGAAATGCATTGTGATGCCAGCAACAGGCAACACACGAAACATCTTTCATGTCTGCTACCAGACAGGAAACAGAACTATCACTATGAGCAAAGCAGCTGTACTGTTGCCAGTCCCTAGCATGGTGAGGGGGCCTTTCCGAAGGGGGCTTACAGGCTTTCCACACACCTGAAACATAATCATATGAGTTAAGTGAGGGCCTGAATATTCCTGGTAGGCCAACCCAACTCATACCCCACGCTAAAGTGTCTGGGCAATCAGTAAGCCCATGTGCAGGTGCTCCTGGGAGAAAGAGCACGGGGTGTGAGAAAGCAGACACAGAAGATGATGTCTGAATTAAAGGCAAGTCTACTGCTGGAGAGAGAGCAAAGAGCACCATGTGAACAACACCTCACATCTTCCTGCAC